GGATATGAAATACTCTCTAATCCTGACTGAAGCCCCAGAAGTCTCCCCTTATGATGAAATTACCAGCGCCCGCACTTCATCATTGATTTTTTTCAAATTGAATTTCTGCCCAGAAATTCCGAGACCTGTTTTTTTTTTCATTAAAATATTATTAAATAAACCCGTAAATTTATTAATCTCAATTAGAACATTCCTGTCACGTGGGAAATGTCAATAACGATTGGATATCATGTGACATTTGGAATAAATCGTATCTTTGATGAGCCATTGAAAACAAAGAGCAACGCAAAATCGTTACGTTCCATTAGCTAGCACTTAAGTAGCGTTTCGGTTAAGGAATCACCGGTAATACGATATACGTTGTAATTCTTCTTCCACGACAATCAGTTACGCCATGAGGACATTGAGAGCCAATAATCAGGGGAATGACAGGGGTGCGCCCACGACAGTGTCCCCTGAATCATGATACAGCCGGTTATTGATCAATCATTTCGTCTGGATGACTTGGAATAAAATCGTCTCCTCCTTTTAACTCAATTATATCGAAAATTTTCGAGCAATGCGTTCTGAAATTTTTGAATTTCCCGCGTCGACGCCCTGCGTCTGTTTTCGTCTGAAGTTGGTTACGAATCGTGCGAGTGCATCGGATGCTGCGCAACCCCATACATCGTCGACCGACTCATTATCGATTTATGTCGCTGCACCCCCATTTTAACGTCCCTACACACCCTTTTTCCGGAAGGGACGAGGGATGAGACTGATTATTCCGAGAATATCTTGGGAACGACGTGAGAGGGTCTACTCCTAGCTTATAAAATTGCAGGAAAAATAAATTCAACTTATTTTCACATCGCAAAAGTTTCAACATGAGATTTTCTATTATTCCGAGAATATCTTCGAGAGTACGTGACAAAATTGTGGGAATATACCATTGAAATTATTAAAAAAAAATTATTAAATTAATGAAATGAATCTCAATATGGAGTTGGAGTTCCGGATGGCTTTGATTTTTTTCGTGGACCCAATATTCCGAATTTCTCGGTGTACGTTTCACTCTCGATAGGCCTGCATTTTTTATTTCAGCAAACTAGCTGCCACCCTCGCATGCCCGACTATTCAATCACTTTGTTTGGTCACCGGGAGATATCGATCGACTAATTGAGCACGCGGTAGTTAACTCGAACGCGATCAAGTAGAAATACTGAGGAAACCTAGGAATTATTTTTATACCGGCAATTATCGTATCAGGGATTCTCGCGGATTCCACATTCGACCCCGCGGATTTTTCGAATCGCCCGAAAAATCCGCGGTTTCTCACCAGAAAAATTCATTTCACCACGAAAATTACTAATTAGTGGGTTAATAGACATTTTTGAGACATCGCGGATATCACGTGTTTTAATACTCAAGGACGTTGTGCTGCCAGGTCAGTTGCACTCGTCTGTGTGTGCAACGTGCGCAATTGTTGCATAATCGCGAAACAGCATTACGAAGTCGCTCGAGAATAGAATCGAATGTAAAAAGCGATTCAGGTAGAGACAGGTACTAGATCTCAAAGACGCGATGATTATATTTTTAATTATGCATTCCATTCCCCGGAAGAAATCCCCCACAAAATCAATTAATTCAATCAATTACCTGACAATTACCGACTAATCATTCAATAATCATTAAAAATAATTTCTAATTGCCCCTGAATTTCAATAAAAATAAAAATGATAAGGGATACCTGAAATATTTTTTCTATTTTCAAATATTTATTTATCTCAATCAAGGGATTAATTGATTAATTGGAATTAATTGTAATTAAGTGGTTCGAGGGTTTTTTCGAAATCTTTTGGAAGGTGCAGTCTCTTCTCATGACTGATTGCAATTAATTGCATTTCCCAGACCGAGGGATAACATTCAATTGTGGAATAGTGAGATAAGACCGGCGATGATGCCAACACCAAAGTGCAAAGACCTTTGAATGCCAGGAGAGGGGAAGGACGCCATTAAATATTGCGTTTAAATTCGTTGACTTATTGCTGACTTATCGTCAATTACGTGGGGGCAAAGTGTCCTCGAATTATTAAGGATGTGAGTTCAATGATTTTTATTTTCACATTTTTAAATCGATCTCACATCAATTCTCTCTCCAATTTATTTATATTAATTTATATTAATTTATATTTTCATTTGTTTTCCGGCTTTCTGGGGTCACACCCCATCGACATATTTGGTCATCATCATTTCCTCTGCCCTTTGTCTTTTTTTTTTTGTTCCACAGTGGATAATTCGTAGCTCTTTTTATGGAGTTCGATTACGAGTAAATTGGAACAATTTCAGCGCCTCGAGACGAGCAATGAGATGACGAGAAGACACTGGCGAGACGATAATCTGACTCATTCTGTCAACTCGAGCGAATAATTACCCCGAAGAATTGCCGAGGATTTGCCTTCTGCATTCCTGATTTCCGCGGCCATTCTTCACGAATTAAATTCGCGAAATTTTATCAAGAATTCTCCAGATCATTCATTTCGACAGAAAAAAAAATTATTGCTGTCACAACAATTACATCATGTAATTACGATTTATCATCAATCATTATACGTTTTTTTTTTTTGTTAAAGTCAGGGTTAATAGTGAGAGAAGTTTTTTTTTTGTGTGACTTGATGAATTTTTTAGCGGAATTCTTCAACAATACTTGATATCCCCTAATAAATTTGTGCTATACCGTGCGAAATCAGTTGATTATCATGGGTAAAACACTGGGGGGCTAGTATCTGACCCAGAAGTGTTGGATCCCCGTTCCGATGTAGATGAGAATAACGAGAGACCCGTTATTCCCTGAGAACCCTCCAACAGTAAATAGCACTTGAATTCGATAATTTATTATCCCCCATTTAACAACTCGAAATCCCATTCCAATTTTCCATTTCCCTCATAATTTTTCTCCCATAAAAACCCAAAAATCAAAATAAAAATCAATCAACAAAAAATGCAATAATAAAATCATTAATTCTGATATTTAAATAATTTAATTCAATCCTAGAACTGAGGGAAAAAGTTGATCATTGGAAAATTCAATTGGAATTGAATTGATGGCCTGTGGAATTTTTTAATGTTCCCATGTCTATCAGCTGTTTTTGTTTACTATTTGCGGTGTTGTATCAAGAGTAAATAGCACGAAATGATGTCAGTGGAAGTCATGAAATTTATCAGTGACGACTGGAATTTAAACTGCCAGTATTTTTTGTGATGAAGGTTAGTCATGTGCAGAGTGTTTCCAAGAGAGTTTGCGCAGACGACAGCTTGTATGAGGAAGCCAGGTAAATAATAGAGGATTTAATAATGTGGTCCAGATTCGATGATAAGAACATCCTCATCATCCAGAGGATGAAAATTCCGGGATAAAGACTAGAGGGTATTAAAATAATTTTCATTGACAAATTCAGGGTGGAGATTGAGTTCACAGCCTCCCATTCTGGTTACCTCGGGATTAATCGATACGTGTGGCCATCAAGAGGATATTCCTCTCGTGATATTCTCACGGAATTTTTTTTTACAATTGTTTACGATTTATTTAACGATTTTTGTCATCCAGTCTCGGTGAAAATGGATATTTCACGTGCGTCAAGAATCGATTGATCGATTATCAGAAATTTTTTTTACCTGGTCTTGGAGATGAGGAATTCTGCAGCCTCTTCTGCTCCTCCCCCTGTTTCTGCACTTCCATCATCTTCACAGCACAATTAAATTGAGTAATTAAATTGAGTAATTAAATTGAGTGAAAGCACTGATTTTTTATTAATTTTTGGGTAACGAAAAATCGTTTTGGAATTTATGAGTGTTGACTGTGCAGCACTGGTGACGATCAACCGATTGTTCTTATCGGACGCGTTAATAATTAATTATCACTTATGTTTTTGGAATAATAAGTTGCCGGTGGAGATGCGCCGTGCGGACACGGGATGGTTCTCGCGCGGTTGTTTCGACGCGTTTGAAACGACTGATCGGCAGTCGCCGGGTGGTCACGATTTTACCCGAGCCCCCCCACGCCCGTTTCCACTGACCGACCATCACCGAGTCTTCCCGAGCCCCCCCATTTGTTTATTTACTAGGCGACAGTATTTCTTCATTACGAATGTGTAACTGACGTTCAAATATCTCCTCTGCAAATTTAATTTCAATTGTAATTCTTGAAAATTTTAACTACAATTTTGTTCCGCCATTAACAATTAATTATTTCATAAAAATTAATGACTAATTCATTTGATTAATATTCGTTTCAATGATAATTATAAATTGTATTTTTGTTTTTTTTTTTAATTATTATTTTGTGTTTATAATTTTAATTGAACAACTTACCTTTTGAAAATTGTTGTCTTCGATGATTTTGTTGCAATAATAAATAATGATAAAATGATATTCAGTCACATTTTCAATTGAAATGGGAAATGATAAAAATCCTTGGCTTTTGGCACTTCCTCATCATTCGAAAGTGCAATTTATTAACGTAATCTCATTGTTAAATTGGTAATAATTAAAATACCAGTCATTTTATTCGGTTCAACACAGTACTGCCTGGATACATCATAAAATATATTATTTCCATTTGAACATTCAAATAAATAATTAATATACATAAATTTTCGCTCCCTAAAACGATATTAAATAAACAAAAATGAAGGTGTTTCGGGTAAGTTGAGGCGTAATCAGGGTAACATTGTCCAAAACCAAATGAAATGACTCATTATTTTTATGATTGTGCTCGGTGATTCCTCGGTGATTCCATCATGATTTGACTCAGTCACTGGTGATTTTATTCCGTCGATTTTCCGACAGGTCTTCGCTCGGTGAGAAAAACAAAACTGATAGAAACGTGAATTTTACGCGAATGTATGACGTGATGATGCGATTGTTTATTTGTCGATGGCTCTTGACGTGGATTTATTTTTCTCATTATTTATTTATCCATTTTTTATTTAATTATGCGGTGGGCCTGAGGTGGTGGATGATTATTCGTCCGCTGCCTCGCGATCACAAAGCCGACGTAGAAAAGCTGAAAATCAAAATTAAATATTAAAAAACGATTTTAAAAAAATGTCAGAACAGCTCCGACGAGTTCCTCTCGTTGAATTTCGTTTTTACCTCGTCATCGCAGGCTTGAGAATTTTATTTTTAATTGCGGAAATTCAATTATGCAGAGGACGTACAATTTTTTGGGAATATCTCTCGATCTAAATGACATCTCGAAATTTTCGGTAAAATGTTTTTTGCAGAAAAAAATCGGAGCTACAAAAAAGGTATCAATAAAAATTTCGGTATGTCTTACAGATTTCAAGATATTGATCGATGAAATTTGAAATTTAAAGTAAATTAGAGTGGCGGCAATTGAAAAAAATTCAAAAATCATTGTACGTTCTCGAATTGTATGAAAGTAGAGAAAGTCAGATGAAGAGAGATAAAAAAGCGAAATAATAAAATATCTGGTGGGACAATTATTTTGTCTCTGTGCCAGAAGCTCTGGCTTATCGATTTCAGCGTCTCAGCAGAATCCATTTTTTTTTCCTATAGAGCATAAATACCAGAGGATTGTAGCCGCAAGAAACATTTAAAAAAGTGCATGAAGACTGAAAACAATGGATAAACACGAAGAGGTGAGGAGAAGAGGCGGAAACGGACAGAAAGCTGTGGAAATTTTTTTTTTAGATACAAAAATTTCTTGTTAGAGATGAATTTAACTACGGGGTTTACTCACGGTAACATTTTCTACATCCGGCTGGGCATATTTATACATTTATCTGGATCTACAGGAGCACCATCATTTTCTTCAGGAAAGCTGTAAAATGAAGAAATTTGGGACGATCAAAGGGAAATTACACAACGGGCTGGCAATTCTCTCTCGTTGACTCCTGACGATTATTTATTCACGGGAATATTCTTTACATTTCTACCTGGCGGATGGTGTGGCTAAAGTACTAATTACTCGGGGACACATCAATCAGGAATTCAGACAATTGATCATTCATTTTTTTTTTCGCGCGAGTGTTAATTTGTGGAGGGGTAAAACGGTTCGTGGAAATAAATTCATTTGATTTCACGCGGATTTAACTCGACGTTGAGGAGTTATTGTCGAATAAAATTAATCGTTTTGCTGATTTGGCGGTGCTGTTTATTGGGAAAGAGTTTTAATTAGTTTGAGGTACTCACGTGCGTAGGGAACGAAACCATCCTCGTCCTCTGGATCACAGCAGTCTTTCATTATTACGTCAACTTCAGAATCATCAAGCTTCTCGCCTAAACAAATTAATTATTTATCTGTTTTTTATAGATATATACGATATATTATAGGATGAAAAATCATACATGAAGATTATATTGAATATTTTGTTATAGATTTTGATTATGGACATTTCCCGAATTTTTAAAGACAGAACTGACTTTTTTTTTTTAATTGAAGGAATTAAAAGTGCAGGAAATAAATTACCGAGGGTCACCAGCATGTTGGAGAGCTCAACACCCAACATAGTTCCATTTTCCTGTTTGTCGTACAGCTTGAGACACTCGAGGAAGTCCTCATAGGTGCCCTGGTCCTTGTCGTGCTTCAGCTGGCTGAATATGGGGAGGAATTCCTCGAGGCTGATTTTCTTCTCGTTCTTCTTCGTCGTACCACCCATTTTTTCAATCGTCATGTTCGTGGGGTTGAGGTTGAGGGCACGCAGGACATTTCCAAGATCGGTTGCGTCGATTACATTGGTACCATC